TTTCCTCTCCCTACCATTCTTTTTCCTAATTTTTCTTCTTTCCTATTTTTTTTGTGATCCAATTGGGGAGCAACATTCCCTTAATCTGTAGCTACATGTACGCCACTGACTAGTTTTTATATAGTAGATGGAAATTACATTAGTTTTTACTAGCAGTTTGACCTCAAATAACACAGATGAAAATCAAATTTATCTTTTAACCAAAGGCAAAACAATTCATAAAAAAAAACTATTCATATTGTTATTTTATCGACGTTGAACATGAAATGGCATTAATAAAAAAAGTGATATATATGAATACTGTTGTTACTTCACATCTGCAAATTATCATGTCATAACTGTTGATATATCTGGAACCAATTTTGCCTTTGATTTCTCTTGCATTCTGACATTCTGATTAGAATTCGCAAGAGGAACCGGCTAACCAGGAGGCAGAGACAGAGGTGAAGGAAAACACCATCAGCACCCAAACATCAGAGGATCATGCAGGAGATGACAAGGAGCCAATGAAGGATCCACAGGGAGTCACAGAGACTGTGAAGGAGACGGAGGAGCTGGAAGATGGGGAGACTCCGGCCAAAAAGCCAAAGGTTGCGAATGAGGAAGAGGCTACATCCAACCCTAAGAAAGTTTTCTGTGAAGAATGAGGTCTCAAATATGATGTCTAAACTGTGTTGGTTTCCTATTTTAGATTTGTTGATGTTTTCTTAGAGTTCTGGAGATAATCATTAAAGAATACGATTACCACTCTTGAATTTATGATCCTGTGTAACTGGGGGCTGAGAATGATATTCGGGGATGTACATGTAAGTTAATTTATATACTAAGAATTTGTAAATATTTTGGTAGAGAGGTGTATATAAAGATATCAATTATAAGTTGAAAACAAGCATTTTTTTTCATGTAAAGAAGCCATGTATTATTTCAGCTTTTGTTTCTTTTCTTCTCTCACTAAACTTGATCACTTTTAAAGTGCGAGATTTTGTTTCACTGTCCATACTGTACAAGATTCCATGCCAAAATATCTTACAAGTCAAGCTTACAATGAAGCAAAAACTCTTGAGAGAAGCCATTTCTCTGATTTTATTATGCATGTATATTGAGCAGTTCATTGGGGGAAATATATGAAAGAACACTCAAACTCCACCATTCTGTCATATAGAGCTGGACAAATTATGTTGTATTGATGTTGTACTTAAAAGGAGAATAAAACCATCTCTTTTTTTTTCTCATTATTTATTTTAAATGGCCATTATCAACAAATAATCACTTTGACACAAGGGTGGTAGTGTCAATGGACATGGTTATTTTACTATGTATTCTTTCATATTATGTACTCTTGAATTGTGTTTGATATTTTACTATTTTGTTATGAGAAATTAGGAATTATGTTCATGTGACCATTCCTCTGATTTTGCCAGACACTTGCCGTTGTCATACAGATTTTTTTTCTCCCAATTCTGTAGCTAAAAGTGCCTTCACAAAAGTTATTCGTAAACTAGTAATATTTGCCAAAAGGATGAAATATAAATTATTACATAATTATACATTAATAGTTGTTTGTGTACTGTATTTTAAATGATGTTAGAAAAATCTGTTATAGAATAATGATGTTAGTTGGTTATATAGCCAAATATGAATTTGTGCTGATGTTGAATTTCAAACTTTCTTTTCTTGGAACGTTGTACTTAGTATTTTAATATAATATAGCATGAACTTGCTCTGACAGTTCTTTAATTCTACTTATTCTGGAACCATGGCATTATCTGTAAAGCGCTTAGGCACATCGTTAGATCGGTGTATTGAGCGCTATATAAAAAAACGGATTATTATTATTATTATTATTATTATTATCTCTCACTTGTTAATGTCACTGTTTTTAAAGAAAATAAATAAATGATTGAAGATACTGCACAATTCCTTTGATAATGTAATACCTTGCTTTCTCTCTTCCAAGACCAAATTTATTCAAATTTTCTAAATAAATTTTACAATGACATTCCCAGTTCTAAGGTCAATAAGGTTTCAATATTAGATAGCTCTTTATGCAGATATAAAGGTGTGATTGGTCCAAAGCTTGTCACGTGATGTCGATTAAGAGGATCATAATTAGCATACCGGTATTTCACTCCCGGTCGATTTTTGATGGTTACTATAATTACTGTACGGTCAAACGAGTGTGTCATACCCATATTCATAACGAAAAACTCGTTTAAACTTATACCCCACCACTATAACACAGGAACCAATGTAAATCAGGTGGGGGTATCAAGACCCACTTTTCGTCGGTGGGGGTGACAAAATCTCAATTTTTTTTTAGATTTTGATTTGTTTGCATAATTGTGTACCTAATGGCCTACGACACCACCTGATAAATCCATGGAACGCCTCCTGTCTCGGTTTTTTCACAAATTCCACACAAAGGACGGTGTCACAGCACTAAGTCTCTTGAGACAGGAAATGTTTTTCCGCTCTCCTGAAAATTCATGATTTTTGAGATACAAGGTTTTGTCACCCCATCGACGTTTTGTTTTTCTCGTTAAAACTTGGACAGAGCCTTGCAGCTCTGCGTGAGAGATAATGATATTATATTGCAGCTGTACTCTTCATCATCTTACGTAATAGTGTAAACAAACTCTTACTGGGGCTCTACCTGAAAGGAAATGAGAAGAAGGAAATATGTGTTTTACTTGTTTTAAGATATTTACATGTCCAAAAGTCACTTATAATTTAGATGGAGACCAAAATGAAAGTTCGAACAAAGCAAAATGACCCAGAATTGGCGATAAAACAACAATTTTAACTGAAAATTAGCACTCTTTCTCCCTCTCTATCACCCCGCCAAGGTCTCGGCAGGGGGATTACATTGTCTAGCGCTAGTGTTTACTTTAGGCTTAGCTCTAGGAGAAGTGAAAGTCAAATGGGGGTTTCAATTTTAAACGACGAGTTTTCGTCATGCCAAGCAATATTGTGCATGCCTAATGTTTGCATTGTCTTAGCAACAAGATCAACTTCAAATAACTCTACAATCATTTATTTGTTTTATATTCATAGATATCTTTAATCAATATTCTACACTGATAATATTTTCTTCATACAAAGGTAACCAAAAATACTTGAAAAATATTGCATGAACACTTCCATACATAGTATTACTTTCTTGTATATTACATTTCGTTTTCATAAAACTTATCTTCACTTACGACTACTACCGTTACATGGCATGAAAGTACTCTCAGAGACTTCTTCAAATTTTCACATGGAAGGGGATCGTATAAAATAACAGCCAATTTCATTATTAGCTATAAAAATAGTGCATTGAATGAACAAAATAGTGTATTGAATGAACAAAGACATTGAATGATCAAAATAGTGTATTGAATGAACAAAAACATCATTGAATGAACAAAAACATCATTGAATGATCAATTTAGTGATGGTAAGATACCACATGCATGATTGAGATGAGACATGAAAAAATGTGCTCCACAAATTTCTTCTGTTGCCTGTATTTGAAATACTTTGTAACAAAAGTTAATTGAAAGATCACACACATAATGTCCAACTGCCTCCAAATTGATGATGAGTTCTATAGCATAACAAAAATGGAAAAAAAAAGGCATTTGAAACGGGAGGGTGGTGAGACGTAGGGAGAGAAAGATTCTGATGAGGAAAGAGATCAAAAGTGAGAGACAGACATGGCCAGAGAAAGAGAAGTATAGAGTAAAATGGAAAAAGATATCAGAATAGGAGAAAAGAGTAATAGAGACAATGACAGAATACACCAATGGAAAGAGGGAGAGTAAAGTGACTTGACACAAAAAGAACAGGATTGTAAAAGAGATAAGAGTGATGTGGATTGCTAGGAGATGTTGTCTGGGAAGAGCCAGAAGGAAGTTCAACTCTAAACTTTCACCAGTACCTAAAACCCTTCTCATTCTCAAAGGATGACATATTGATCATTGCTCATATGACCACTAATAAATGTTTTCAAATGAAGACTTATTTCATAGGAAAGATTGGGGACAATTGATTATGTATCTGGGTAAATGATTCTATGATTTACTTGCCTGACGAGGCAAGTGGTAAAATAAAAAATAAAATGATTATGGGAAAGGGAAAGCAAAAGAGGCAATAAACCAGTGTACGTTGAACCATTTTATACACAGAACAAAAAGATAATTTCACAATCATTTGGGGAGGTACTTCTTCCCCAACGCATTCAGAATGCAGGGAAGCCTGGGGGGGGGGGGGGATGTTTGATACACTTCATAGACATACTATCTGAGGTATACTGTAATATGAATCTATACATACTTCCTAATATATGGTTCTTTTTATCACTCAAGAGCTCATCAGAAGTTGCCCAACCTAGCAACAGATGAATTGAACAGTTGCTTCGCATGGAATACGGGAAGACACATGCATAAATTTGAATATGTTAGTACATGTAATCCCATAATTAATGGTTTTTTTTTAACCTGATACATCTCAAGATATATACTTGTTCTGATGATCTGAAAGTTCATGTATCACATCCAAAAGGAAAATTTACTTATACTTGTGTCTTCAAAGATGGACTTCTCCTTGCACATAGTAATTGTTGCTAGGTTGGGCAACCTGTAACAGTTTCAATGTCTGGAGTTCAGACATCTTCCTCAGACGTGAATTGGCAGTCTGAAGGAAGATGAGGAAGTTGTCTGAACTCTAGACATCAAAACTGTTACAGTTAAGCCCCACTGCACTACTTATAGCTAAATGCACCCTCTATATAGCAAACCATGCCTAATTGGTGACCATTATCCTCTTTTTCTTATGTTAATTGAGAGCTGATTTGATGAGATAACCACCTATCAGTGACCTTGCAGGGTGGTCTAATCCCTTCTGTAAACTAGTACAGATGGGCTTTAAATCTTTCATTTTGGATGTGATACAAGAACTTTCAAATCGTTATTACAACCATCTTGATGAATTGTAACTGTTTCATATTAAAGATACTTGTTCTGTCTAAATCACTAGGAGCCCATCATCATTTGGGAGAGAACGGTTTTCTTCCGGACCTCTCTTGTTCCTCTTCTACCAGTTTGTGGGCCGGATGGTGCTTAATCTCGCCCCTCTCGGTGGTGTACATAAGGGCGGGGTTGGCTGAAGTGGTGGAAACACTGCCGAGGGAGGTGTAGCTATCAGAGGGAGAGGGAGATTGAAAACAAATGAAAAGTTGATTATGGGGGTTGTATTGATAGCTGGTTAACAGAGTCTGCAAATACAGACTAGCATGTATAACTAAATATAGAATAATAATAATAATAATAATCTTTTAAAGTCCACTCCAAATTTTATTAAACCGAAAATGGAAATTCTTTTTGCCCAATTGATTGTGAGCCCGGCAGCCACTGAGCAGCGCCAGATTGACCTGCAACCCATGACTTATGCCAGTACTTGATGTCTGACTGCACAGTGCCTCAATAAAGCTACCTTATAAGTTCAATCAAAGCTCTATAACTGGTCTTCTATGAGAAAATAATAGGGGAGAGGGGAGAGGTGGTGTGGGGGAGAGCATTGTCCGTTTCAATGTTCCCCCCAAATTTTAAAAACAAATATCATTTACCACACATCTGAACCCTATTCCAACTGGGCTTTTTTGAAAGGTTATTTAATTTCTTGCCTAAGTACAAACACACAATTAAAACAATAACGCAAAGGTCGTGTTCTACAAAATCAGTTTAACCTGATACAAGGACTAAAGTCAGCATAAGCAAAGGAAAACCTTAGATCTTGGTTTAAGTTCCTCTATTAAACTTGAATTTAGACAGAGCTTATACCCAGCAAAATTTTAGGATACAGACATATTTTAAGAATGATAGTATAATATATAAGTATAATAAGAATTCCTCACCCTTAATCCATTAATGAACTTTATTTTAGACTGAGCTTACACCCAGCATTGGACTTAAATTTTAGAATACGGACCAAAGTAAACAATATCTGAAACTAAAGCACGTTTTCAACACAACATCCTAAATTTGAGCAAGGTTTGCTGTTACACCATGTATTCTTAAGAGATAGAGCACGAGTGGGCCCTTTTCAGGGCTAACGAGCTCTGTCAAAAGAATGTGTGGTGTTACTGCAAACCCTGCTCAGTGATATCATCACCATGGAAGCCTTTACAGATTACATAATATCTTATCATAAAGGAATGTATAGAACGATAAACGACCTCCTTTCCTCACCCTTTATCGTAGAGCCTGCAGTAAGGCACAAATAGACGACGTAGGAAGACCCAGACATCATGATAACTCCAGAACAGCATGGGATTGACCCGCATTAGCTCCGGCCAACCCTCATCGGTCGGGGAGAAGTTACTCAGGCTGGCTGTAAGAAAAAGGGAAATGATATGATCTGATGATTCACAGCATTTATATAGCGCTGTATTTCTGTTTTAACCCTCTGCTTAAGGGAACCTGGTGGTCCCTGTGTTAAGCCTATGGGACCTATAACATTCATTAGTCAACAGGTTAAAACAAAAAAACATTTGAAGGTGGGGGGGGGGGGGGGGGCAATGCCACTGAAGTCAGTGTTTTGTACATCTGCCTTGGTGAAATATAACATCAGTCAAGAAAATTCATATAGATGTAATTGTTATATTGAACTCTGGAGCATTGTTATTAGTGAGATATATGCAATATTGATGTACTAAAATGATATACGAGTCAATTTTATAGACACATTAAGAAGACCAGGAAAGAAGGGCATGAGGGCAATGGTGTGATATGCATTCACTACAACCAGGAAGTTGCAGAAAATCCACTTTTTTTTTTTTACCGGAATGTGGGTCAGTCTGTCTCGTTCCCATTAAGACAGCTTTGATTGACGGGTTACTCTTCTTCAATTCCCATAATGCATCTTTTATCCGCCCCTGTATCAAAATAGTCTTCAGGTTGTACCTGTAAGGAAAGTTATGTTGAAGCAAGTTTAAAGAGAAGGTTGAGTTCTGGGAAGAGGTGCGGAAAAATAATTTGTGAGCGTTATTGTTATTATGGTAGGCAAGTGTGGAAGAACATCAGTTCAAAAATGTTCCCTGGAAAACATGGCACTTCAAAATGCCTTAATATTCTAAATATGGCACGTAACAGCATAAAACCGGGATGGATTTTAATGCCATATGTTCGTTTAGTCCCATATACATATGTCTGTGTACAGTGCTTGTTACTTTACCAAGACTGGGCCAAATTTCTTATCATTCTGATGAATCCAGATCATTGCAGTACACACCAATACTTATATGCTAGATGATCAACCTTTCCTGATCGATCCCACACCGTTTCTTTCATAATGCAATCGCATGACCTAAACTCAATTTTATCTTTAAATGCATTTTTAATAAGGGAAACAAACATTAGTTGTTAGACGTATAAATTAATTATATTGTTCATATATGATATTATTATTCTCATCAAACGTAAGAATATAACATAAAAAAATTAACCGAGGACAAAATACACATAGTGACAGAAAATAATTAACTCAATTAATCTTTGCATTTTGCAGTCAACATGACATCAGTAATCAACTTTTATCTTTGCCAAAGAAATCTTTTCAATGAATATTGAGATTTAAATTTAACACAGATTCAATTATTTACTGTGGTAAGAGTAAACTCAGACCAACTTATTGTAAGTTATATTTCTTTTTTGAGCACATCTCTTTCCATATTTACTCATTCATTTCTGTTATATCTTTCTGTATTTGTACCACAGTACGTGAGGAAAATATAGGTTGTTCTCCTATTATGGGAATAGATTTTGGTTGTTTGGGAAGAGGGCAGTTTCTACATTTACTCTCTTGCAAGCCTCTTCCTTTCAAACGTTCCTCTCTCTTTCTCTCTCTCTTTCATTCTCTCTCTCTCTCTCACTAATCTCTCCCATCTTTCTCTATATCTTCCTTTCTACAATGTACCTCTTTTATGGCTGCCTTTCCTTTTTTTTTTTTTTTTTTTTTTTTTTGGGGGGGGGGGGGGTGTTTCATCCTTCCTTACTTTCCTTCCCCCTATCCACCTCTCCTTCCTTTCTTCTCTCACAATAGGGAATCTTAGAATTGCGTGAACTGATACGTGTGACGTCCATTTAAGGCAGTGCATTAAAAGGACGTCGATCGTAGCAATCCATGTTGTCGTTGGGCCAATCTAAAAGTCCCTAATGCCTACCCCCTTCCTCCCTCCTCTCTCTCTCTCTCTCTCTCTGCCTAAATCAAAATATAAATAGAGACATTGATTACCCAACCAGTTAAGCTCACCTTTTTACCGACTCGTCTACAAACTCATCCACTTCCTTGAATGTACCGTGAGGGTGCTGTATGTACAAGACTTGTAACTGGCCTTTGTAATCCGGGTATTTCCTAATGCATAGTGGAAAAAATGACCAAAAAGGTAAATTAAACAACTGGGCTCCGTCTTATAAAGAGTTCTCTAATAAATCGGAAGTTTGCAGTAACTTATCTCTCGATACACAGTTGTGATTGATGTCAAAACGCAAATAAGTTGTTATTTAAAGGGCCCATGACATCGAAATACATGTGTATTCCTGTTGGTGCGGTCCTGCATACATCTCATATTTTGATATGTAACCTTCTGAATTTGTTTCATAGATTTTGAAATATTTGTTGAAATATTTGTTTTTCAAACTTGCTATTAAGTTCCACCCCAAAACCCTCCAGATCTCATTCCCCTTGTGACATCATCTGTCAGTCATCAATGAGCAAACTTGAGAAAGTGGTATGTATCTTTGCCGAAGTCGACCACCTGTTACAATACGTAATACAATAGCACCATGCAAGTTGCTATGTCAGACATGCTGTAGCATCCCCAGGAAGACAAAGGCAATGATGATGTATTGTGCATATGTATGGAAGCATGTAATTCTATTATGAACGTGTGCTAAGCTGGGGGAAATTACATACCATTGCATATTCTAGAATATTAGTTTAGTCCGACATGTCTGACATTATGATGCTATTGTTTTTCGATGTCATGGGCCCTTTAATATCAACTCTTCGTAAGAAGGGGCCCTGGACTGTATAAAAACAAAATAAATACTAGATATCTTTGTAAACAATCCACAAAAGACACAACCTTTATCTAGTATTCAATAGAAAACATAGGCAAACAATCCTCCCATTTGCAATTGCCAATACTTACACTTTTTTTTTATTAACTGTTGAGAAACAAACATTAAAATTTGAAGAAAACATTTTTTATCTACCACCTTCGTACCTAAATTGTCAGTGAGATATGTCAAACATGAATTTTTAATTCACTTACGTTACTAGCTATATGTCTTTTTGTATTTAGGATATGGCTTGACTTCCTACTACATTTGGCTAGGTTAATAATGATAATAACAATAAATTTTCCTTATATAGCGCTTTTCATACGAGATTTACATCAAAGCGCTTTACAATATTGATGCAAGTAAAACTAAACCGAGTATTGACAAGAGAACAAATTTAAAGTGAATTGTCAAACATAAGATAACGAGGTAAGGTTACAATTTAGGAACTAGGTTGAATATGTCTCTTCCATTAGATTTGTTTTTAATTTTGATCTAAACAAAGCAATATCAGAGATGCAACGAATGGAGGCTGGAAGAGAATTCCACAAACGTGGAGCAGAGCATGAAGGTTACGTTACCTTTTAACGACAGCATGGAAGAGGTGTATAAGGGCCGTGCAATCTTTGCCCCCATTGAATCCCGCACATATCTCATCCATCTTGTACTTCTCAAGAGCTTCCTCTATCACTGTGTAATGCAACAAAGAAAATGATCATGTTAAATAATATGTAAAGTTATGGGGAGTGTTTCACAAAGACTAAGTTTGACTTTAATATTGACTTAACTATCGCAGGATATTCATGTCACTAGCTGCTCTCAACATTATGTTTTTTTCCTTCAATAATAAATTATCACAAAATATGTAAATTCTGTGGATTTTGGAGCATGATTTGTAAGTCCCTTGAAAGACCAATGCCAGTAAAATGGTAAGAGCAAACAGAGGCATGAATGGCCTGCGATAGTTAAGTCCAACTTAAAATAGATCTTAGTCTTTGTGAAACACCCCCTGGTGTAGTTTGAAAGTAATCTTTGAGCTCTCTCATTCATTTCATTCATATATTGTAAAATATCATCAAAAAATTTACTTGCTTTTTTTTTTACTAGTACATACAATCAACACTACAGTATCTCAAGTTAAAAGGGTTATCAAGGCTGGGTGTGCCTACAGAGTGTCACCATTATGGAGAGCCATTTGAAGCCTTAAAATAAAATATTTTCAAAAGCAAAAGTTTTAGAACATGAAATCTCCTTGATAATAGAAAATATGAATGATTTGATGCCTTTTGAAATATCTTTCACAAATATTTTCAATGATGCTAATGGCCCTCCATAATTTTTAAGTCCAACTTAAAGATAACGTAAACTTAGGATCTTTGTGAAACACCCCCCTGGTACCAATCCCTAGTGTGCTTGGATATCTTTTTATATTAAACTAAAGAGAAAATTAAATGTAAAATCTTTCCCAGGCTTGATTGAGCAATGGTAGAGATGATCAGAGCTTACTTTGTGAAGACTCCCTCTCTATTTTCCTTTTTTTGCTAATCATTTTTTTTTCTCCCTCACCAACGCCCTCCTTGAGTAAAAAAAGAAAAGAAAAGAGGATTCGGGGGGGGGGGGGGGAATGGCATCTATTAACATCCCCCCCCCCCCATTTTGAGTAAGAAAATTCTGGAAAATAGGGATAAAATTGGAAAGAAAAAAAGAAAGAAAAAAAGGCAATTGGGAAACCGATTTAAATCGGGTTATAATCAGGCCTGGAAATAACAATAGGGACTTTTAGATTTGCACAACGACAATGTGGATTGCTACGATCGACGTCCTTTCAATGCACTGCCTTGAATGGACGTCACACATATCAGTCCACTCAAATCTAAAAGTCCCTAATAATACCTTTGACTGCTACTGCGACTCTAGCTGACAGTAGGTCCTCTGATCCTGTTGCACTGTCACTGGCAATGCAGGTAGCAGGACTACTTGCGCTGGATTCTAGTTGGGTAGTTCCTGGACTAGTTTGGTCCGTGAGAGATGCTAGGCTGTAGACGGCCTCTGGGGCCTTGCCGATAGGGTCTAGCTCATAGTTTACAATGTGCTCTGTGGTCGGAAAGAAATGAGAATAATACAAATGGTGGCTTCTTATATAGGGGACATGTTTGTCATGGCTTGAGTTTCCTCGCGCTTCACGTTTACCTCGGTCAAAAGCGACGGCCAAATATTAAGTGCTCTAGTGCATCAGGTACCAATTTACAGCTGGGTGAAGAGTGGCAACATGTGAATGATTGTCTAGCCAAAGGACATTGGTGGCAGGCTGGGATTTGAAAACTCGACCTTTAGATTGAGAGTCAAATGAATGGACCACTATACCACACCACCTCCACAGATTTAGAAATACACTTGAGACACAATATAACACACATTATTCCAGCAATTTCACAAGATATGTCCATTCTTGGTATGTATAGTTGAGAGCTGAATTGGTGTTTGGTCATTCTTGTTCAACATTGACTTTATAACACCCTTCTGGCTCTCAGCATATACTATCATGTTTATGCCTATGTTGTTTATATTGTATGTAACACCAATGGGAAACATATGTCTTTATCATTATGGACAATAAAACTTGAATCTTGAATCTTGAATATACTTTTATAATTCATAAACACACAGGTACATTCAGAGCTTGTCAGGCATACTGTCATGATTTTGGAATAAGATGACATTTATAGCCAGAATATTAATTTTCCAATTTTTTGGGATCAAGCAAATAGCAAGCAAGAAAATGTTGTCTCACCTTGAGGTAGCAGAGAAAGAAGTTCACTATGAGCTTTGTTTAATGTCTCTTCATCTTCACACTCTAACGTAACCTTGACTGTGTAGTAACTGGAAAAAATTATAATAGATAATAGTAATAATACATTTATTCTTTGCTTTTGTTCAGAAATTTGTTAAGGGTAATTTCGCCCCTTACACCTCCTTCAAATATGCCAGTGTAATATAATATAATATTAATATTACAGTAGTGAAGTCTTGTATAGCACTCATGTCTGTCACATTGCCACTACAACTAGTAAGCTATTAAATGTGTATCATCATCATCATCGTCATTTATTAAAGTCAGTATTTTCCCTCTTACGAGGGGTAACTGAATTTCGCACCATGATGACACTCCCTCCCTCCCTCCACTTTTTCTTGTCTCCAGCATCCTCTTCATTTAGACCAACCTTTCTGCTATCTTTCTTCACCACATCTTTCCATAAAATCGTCGGTCTTCTTTTCTCTCTTATGCCATCCACTTCCAGATCCCACGCTCTTTTCACAGGTTCATCATCTTCCCGTCTCATCACATAACCCATCCATCCCGATCTATTTCTCTGTACCAGTTCCACCAGTTTCTTCCAGACCCAACTTTCCATGAGCTCCATTGAGCCCTTGTGTTCTTTCTATCAGACAGTTTCACACCACATATCTTCCATATCATAGCTCTTTTTGTTCTCCTTAAGATACCTTCTTCTACTGTCTTCACTGTATACCTTTTTTCAATTCAATTCAATTCGTTTCATTCTCACATACGAATTAAAAAAACAATCACAATAACATATACATTGAAAAAGAAAAAAAAGTATAAAACAAAAATATGGTGGGACTAAATTTGCAAAGGCCATAGGCCTGTCAATGGCGACCCCATTACAAAAAAAATATGATATATGTGTATGTATATGTAACAAACAAGAAAAAACAAAAACAAAAACAAAAAACCTGACTTAAAAAATATTATTTAAAAATGCACAACAACTAGTAATATCAAATGGGATTCTTCAAAAAAGGCATTATTTACATTATACCCATGGTAATATATGAGATTAACCCCTTACCTGTGGCTAAGCTTTGGATAAGACCCAAGATGTACTTTTCCATTGTACTTGGCATTGAATTGATTAAGGTATGGAGCTATGGCTATCTCATGTGTGCCGACGTAAATCTCTCGAAGATGGAAGTGGACAGGAGATCCTTGGAATAATTTCTCCTGTGAGAAGTAAAAGAAATTTTAAGAATATTAATAATAAAAATAATAAAAATAATATTAATGATAATAATCAAAATAATAATAATGAAGGTAATCAAATTAGTAAAAAAAAACACCAACAATAGTGGGTTTTTGTATAGCACTTAAGTCTGTCACACTTGCTATTTAATGGCAATCTATTGTTATTTTCCAAACTTTAGCATGGCAGCCATTACAGTACTCAAGCAATTCCAAGGAATTAATGCTCGTCAGGTACCCATTTACCTCACCTAGGTCAATAATGGTCAATGTAGATCAATATCTTGCCAAGCAACAAATATTTATTGATATAGATTTGTGTCATAGATTTTATTTTGTCTCACAGCAATATGAGGAGGTTCAGCCTTTATTATGTAGGCCAATATTTTAATGTACACATATTTTCGCAGATGACAGTGAGTCTGCTATTTTTGCAAGTTTTTGTGTTTGGGATAATTAACACAGGCTACTCGCAACAGATGCTCACACAGCACATTTCCTTATGTTCTTAAATTCACAATCCTCTGAAAAATTGGGAAATTTGAGAAAATAAAACCTCCTTTACAATTAAGAGTTATAAAAATGACATAAGAGTCAATGACGAACCTTGAGTGAGAGGAAAGCGCCCTCTAGGAGCTTTGGAATGCCAGGGAAGATGTAGACATTCTTGACCGAGATGATTGGGTACAGCATCTTCTGCCCTGTCTTGAGGTTGGTACCGAACGTCAGGGTCGAAGACTTCGGAACCTGGTATACGGAGAGAGTTTAATTGTTGACTGTTTATAACACTCGAACTAATTTGCGATCTGCAGGCAAATACCTGCTTGAGAGTCCTCGAACATGCTCTCATCTAGGTGATCGTTCATTTACTGTCTGTGCATCGAGATTGTGGAATTCTCTTCCCCAAATTCTTTGCTCTTGTCACCAGTCATCCACTTTCAGAACTCAACTAAAGACATACCTATTTCAGATTGCTTACAATTATTCACTGCTTTTTTGTCTTTCCCAACTAGAATCATGAACAGACATTTTGGTAGTTTTTCAGTCTCATCAGTGCCTTTGATTAGGCAACTAGATGTTGGCACTTTATAAATACCTAGATTGGAATTGGTAGAATTGTATTAATAGCATTAAAGATGCATTTGGGCACACAGTGTTATCCCACTACACACAACATGATCACAGTTTTGGAATAAGCAATAACATTGCCTGCACATATAAAAGTGTCAACTTGAAATTTGAGGAAGGCTTGTATCGATTCAGTGCATCATTTTGACACTGCACAAATAAATGAGCTTTAGGTCTGTGAAAGCATTCGTTGTATTTGTAGTCCTGGAATTTTGAAATGACAGTTGACATTTTGAAGATTGAAACTGCTAGAAGTAGATCTTTCCTCATTATTTTTCATTATTTTTACCACATTAATATACAATGCGATGGAGAAGACTACAACTGATATTTGTAACAAACGTTATTTCTAAATGATGCAGTTATGTGCTTTGTCAGGGTATTAATAAGCTTTGCTTAAAATGAAGACTACAAAATGATGTTTGATATTTTAAGAGATATCATGCAGTTATGCATTCAGGCAGCTGACATGAATGCTTGGTAGAAATGGGACATTTGGGCAGCCATGATAAAAAACCAGTCCAATCAGTTCAATGATACGGAAATAAACGCAAAGTAGCTTTAAAACGGCGTATTCTCTAAGAAAAATGTCATTTCAAGACTTTTATTTTCTCTCTTACCAGAGCCATCTTGAGTTGCGGTGAGTCCAGAGAGCTGTTGGCTCCGAAGTAATCTTTACATAACTTCACCAGCTCAGGGTGTGGGACTATCTCCTCTCCAAAGGCCTTGGCTACACCTGCAAATAGAACAGTAATTAGAGGTCCCCCAGGAGAGTCACTGCATATGCACATTAAGAACTTACCGGACTAATAACTAAGAGTAGAAGGAAACCCCAATTAAGTGGTACATCCCAATCAGTTATACCTGGAGGAGATACCCAAGAGTCACAGTGATTCAGTTTGCTTTTCCCCTCCCAGGCACAGGCGATGGCAAATATTTGTTTTAATCAATAGTTGAATTTAAAATCTGAAGTTTAATCAGGTAGCATACCAAAATGATGATTCATTATAATTTATGAAGACTAATACCGCATTATCAGTAATATTATACAACACAGTCACCATTCCCCCTCACATCCTTTTACTACACAAATCAAATAATTTGTAACCAAACACTATACTATACCCTAGCCGCTAACCTAACCAACAACCCAACGGCGACACAACCAACCCTGTATCTTCGATGAGATAAAGCCTAGAACAAAATTACCAGGGTACATGATGGGTCACCTTGGGACATCTCAAACAAGATTTTTTATAACTTTAATAGACTCCAGAGAGGGTAAAAGAGAAGACAAAATGGGGTGATTATATTTTTCTGCTTTAATACCTCAAGTAGCCCAATCTGAATTATATTCCAAATAGATACATATCTTGATTTTAAATGGGTTTGCAGTTTGAACCAAGCCATTTTCATCCCTTGCCAAAAATGATACACCACTGCATTATAGTAGGGTTGGGGCTAGTTTGGGGGATAAAGTTAGGCCCCAAGGGTGATGCAGGTTAAGGTTGTTTGTCATGGAGTACTTGGTACTTGGTTGGGTAATCCCTTTGGCAGCTCACTCAGGAAACTACACTGTATACTGGGATGGTAGGTGAGGCAAGTAACTACAAGGAGTGTCATGAATTGCAGGAATGGTGTGTGGACAAAGAATTTGTTAATTTACAGAAAAATAGTCCAGTGCAAGTAAAAACCAAGCTAGTAAGCTTATATGTGAGAACCAACAGGGGGCTGCATCATTCTGATGGAGGCTAGAGTAGCCTCCTTGAAGTTGGTTATTCCTGTGGCATTGACTGCTGAGCCTGGCAGATGATTCCAGATCCTTATTACACTTGGGTAGTATGAGAATTTGAAGGAGTCAATAGTTGCAACAGGAATTACATACTCTGCAGTTGTACACCAACAAAAAGAGATTTAACTGACCTTCAAAGGTGACATCATCATGTGTAGGCCCGATGCCCCCTGATGTGATAACATGTGTGTAGCGTTTGGAGAAAGAAGCAACCTCCTCGGCAATAACTGATAAATCATCATGGATTACAGAGACCTAGAGAAAATGTTTGTTAGGAAAAAAGTAAATGCGAACTTAATACAGTGAAACCTGTACATGTATATGAAAACTGCTCGAGACAAGTAAAGTGGTCTTTATAGGCAGGTGGTCTATATGTATAGGTTCCTATAGTATATATGTCTCAATGAGACACCACTTTCACTGGAAACAAAAAATATGGTCTTTATTGATAGATGGTCTTTCTATAAAGGTGGTCGCTAAAGCAGGTTTGACTGTATTAACCCATTTCATCAATCCTCATCATTTCTATTTATCGTCTGTGTTTCCAACAATGTGGAATGTTCAATTACTTTTACTTCCCTATTCCAGGGCATCCAATCTCTTACGTCCACACGAAAAGGTCCAAAAGCCTTGACAGAATCTTTTTCTGAGTTTTCTATAGTCTGCCTTCTGGTCTTGAGCCTGCTACACGTTGTACTTTTAAAATTCCAGAGATCTTAAGATAAGTTTTCATTACATGAAAAGTATAGTTATGCATTTTTTTTAAAGGGAGTACATGATTTTCACATAGAAAATTTAGCATCTGTATGCATCAGCTCCTATTTATGCAAGGGTCACTCTGTGGCCTGGACCCACCCTCCTCAGGTCATCACCTTTCTTCACCTGAGCCAATTATTTGTAACCTCAGGGTTTCACCATCACTTCATGTGCTTTACAAAAAACAAAGGCAAAGCATCACTCTTATCAGCAAATGTGTTAGTCCAGGCTTCACCCTTTGAATTATTTGCATAGGTGATGCTTCACTTTTGTCAGTTTTACATAGGTGAGGCTTCACTTGTGTCAGTTTTCCATAGGTGAGGCTTCACTTTTGTAAGTTTTCGGCCGGTCTGAAGCTTCACCACTGTTTCACCATACTTCGACTCGAGCGCACGGCACTGCTGTGGCGTAATACCTTTGTGGAATACGTCAACATTGAAATCTCGCGAAAATATAGGCTAAGTTTTATGCACAGATTTCGTTAATAATCAATCGTAAAACAGGGTCGGAGTAGTACCGTCTCAAAATGATCGGAAAACTCTGAACTTTCTATTTTTTTTCAACTCACCTCGCAAAAACTTGGGGCCAAAACTTGGCACGATCTGCGCTGCGCATGCTGGGTACAATACCGACAGCTCGTAGGCTACAAGTCTCGTTTCCAGACTTGAGGCTGGCCTTTCAGGCACGTATACTGCGAATACTCACGCAACTAGTTATGTGTAGGAGACTAGTAGACTACTCGAAAACGATCTCGTGAAATCTCGAAATCAGTTTCGCTGGAGAAAAGTTCGGTGACCTCAGGACGATCACTCTGCGAGTGCATGAGTGACCGGAATAAAAATTAAATAGTTGTTTTGAAACGCACGATTTCGACATATTTTCGACGCGACCGGTAGTGGCTTCGATGTCACATCACCTGAACAAACAAGGCGACCGATTGGATTCGATGTCACATCACCAGAAAAAACAAATTACTCGTCAAAGCTTCACACATTTCATCAATTTGTATAGTAAAGCTTCACCCAATGAAGAAAAACGAACGTTAGGACTTCACTACAACAACAAATAGGTCAGGGTCAGGCTTAGGCGTCGAGTCGACGTCGATATTTGGCGACCTCTGAGGAGGGTGGGTCCAGGCCACAGAGTGACCCTTGCATTAGTCTGTCTTTGCCTTTGAGCTTCTGAATAAACTTTTAAAAAGAGAGGGGGGGGGTGCAGACTTAGATTTCACAGCCTGTGTGTCCTAGGCACTTGAAGGTTTCGAGCCCTGGTATTAGAAGTAACATAAATATTGTTCTATATAAAATGATGTACACCATGATGTACATGATCTATGAAGAGCTACATTTGCAATTATTATTATAATTATTATTATTTATTCAGCAAAACAAAGTGTACAAAAGAATTACATAGAAGAACAAATCAGACAAAACAAAGGATGAAAATCATTTTTTTTTAAAAACATTATCATGATTCCCATGAGCATTTACAAGTTGCCAGGAATGGGGCAGTCAAACTAATCACCGAAACCGTCTCCCATTCCGAGGAATAGTAAAACAAATTATATGACACATCATCCATACCCTTTCAACTCTGACCCCCAGCTTGTAGAGTTCAGTGCAGATAAAGTGTGAGTTGGTATCAAGTGTTTGGCCTTTCAAGATCTCATCACCAATGACTGGAAAATAAATATAACAGTTTGATCAATAATCTCATTTAGAAATAGGATTTAGGAACACTCTCCAAAAAAAGTCTATAGACAAGATCTATTCTGCATTCATCAATAAATTACTAGGCCTACTTAAACTAGTTATAACAACATCCCAAGTCCACACAGAATGTATTGTAAACAACAACACAAATAGTTACAGTCTAAATGTGTAAAAATGCATCTTGGCTTTCTTTCAACAACCCTAAATTTTCAAAGTGAATATCCCAGGTTTAAAAGTGTGTTTTTCTAAATCATTCATTCAATCATTACGATAAATTCGACCTTGAATCTTGGTTGGAAGGAAAGGAGAACCACTGGTTATTAACATCTAAAGTAAACTAAACTAACATAGTATATATTCCCCCCAAAAAAAATCATCTCGAATAGGCCTGCTCTTAACTTTAAGCAGACAAAGCACCCACAATTTCTCACTTGATATTTCCACCCACCCCACAAATTCCTCCACCGCAACCGAAACACGACGGATACTCACTTATGATCCCCGCCGTAGGTTTCCCGTCTTCGTTCAACGCCATCCTGCTCAAAGCACGTAGTCGATTAGACGTTTGCTGAACGCCGACAAAATGGCGACTAAGGATTGAAACTCGTCTTAAACTTGTAAATGCACTCATCAGAATCATATCAAACAACACGAGAATCCCCAACCCTGGAAAACATTTATGCTTTCGGAATTTTAGAGTTACATGAGCAGAATTGACGCCGGTGAAGGGGTTACATATTATCTTTATGGTAACTGGTAACACGCAAAAAAGAAGGAAAATTATTTTATTGACGTACCGTACCCTGCCCGGTTTCCGCCCGATGGGCAGTTTTTCTCAGATAACTTCTCTGAAAATGAATTATACAGGCGCTAATGTATACCAATTTGTTGCCGAAATTCTAGCAAATCTAGCTATGCCATTCTTACGCCCGAAATCATAAGCGATTGTCCGTAGCGCGCCGTCTGCGTGAGGCATTTTCCTTGCCTAATTCCGCCTAGACCCGCCCTAATTCCGCCCGATGGTGGGCGCGCATCAAAAGTATAGAAAAAGGAAACATCTCGGGTACACGTTAGGCCAAATCAAATTGCTTCCCAGTAGAATTCGATCTACATGTTATTTTGATAATTGATATTTCTTTCTTTATTTCTTCCCTTGCCTCTGTAGGCCTAATGCAAGTGCACTGTTATTTATCAGTTTCTGATCTGGAAAAACAATTTTTTACTGCCTTTGGAAAATCCTGCGACTTGTCTATGATGTTTTAATAATGTGTTCAGTCAAATATTCAGTGTTCTATCGCTAATCGGGAGAGGGGAAGAAAAAAAAATCCACAATAACAACATTTTGTAAAAAAAAAAACTACCACTATTAAAGTAAACACTTTGGAAAGAGAGTAATGGCACTTCATTTTTAATTTTTTTTTTAAAACTGCAAATTATTCTCGACATCTCTCAAATCTTGATTAAAAAATAAATTAGCGTATATTTTTAGGATATTGGTTGGAAAAGCATAGCATTTTCGTCATAGGAATTATCATCATCGCCGACATCGTCTTAATCATCATCATTACAATTTTAGGGTAGGCCTATGTGACGCAAATGTGGTTTCCTGTTTGATTATTTGTTCAAGACTTCAAGTTGTTGTGTTTTTTGTTTTCTAGTTGTTCTAAATTATGCAGTATTTTATGCATTCAATAATAATAGTTCAACTTGAAAGATAAAACTTTCCGAAATGATCTTGAAAACGAAGTCGTCGATTCACTTCCATGGGGGGGGGGGGGGGGGGGGGGGGGGGGGGGGGGGGGGGGTAGTGAGCACATTTTTTTTTTTTGATCCTCAAAAAAATTTCAATTTGCACCCCCCCCCCCCCCTTGAGCGCCAGGGGGGGGGGGCCCAACCCCCAAAAAGGTAAAAATCACGTGATTTTACATGATTTTTTTTCTCAAGGGGGGGGGGGGGGCCCGGGCCCCCCGGGATCCGCCACTGCCCCCACCCCCCCCCCACATTTTCTACATAATGCTACATGTTAAATTCATCCATTCATCTATTTATTTATTCAATATTCATTCATTTTATTGCCGAGAGATATTTATGTTATGGATAGAGATGAAAAATGTTCACCTTTTATTCGCCATAAAACTTTCGCAAAACTAACAACGTAAGAATCACCTTAGCAATTTGAAAGGCCTGACAGGCGTATGCCCTTAATGTATTATTTATACTACTCTTTCGATAGCCATTCATATAGGTTTATTTAACATGAAACAACAGACTGGGATTTTAGTTTCTACCCCTATATTTATTTTATTCACAGTCAACTGAGGGAAATTTATGGCAGCGAAAATGTCATGATTCATGTTGGTCATGTTGGTAAAATTAGATAACACACAAACAATTGAAAAAAAATTGAAAAATAATTATAGCCTAAAGCATAGAAGTATTAAGAAAGAAGGATATAAAATTGAAGAGGGAGACTAAAAGAAAAATGGGGAAAAGGAGGGGTGTAATCGAAGAAACATCCTGTATCGTATTATAAACAAGCACTCTTTTCGCTACAAAGCCACGACGCTGGATTAAAAGGCGACACAACATGAATACAAACTTTTTGCAAATCTATACCAACCCTGGTAACTTTTTTAAAAGCCAGACCTATTTTTTGTCATTGGGATCACTGTCGGAGAACCGAACTTCAAGCATTTCTTAAAATCAATCATATCTAATTTTGTCACAAAATTTAACTTCATGACTAGTAGGCCTACATTAAATTACAAATCAATAGACCACATCGTTACCCGAAATTGTCGGTTGCTCGAACCATGGACCCTACTACGAACGAACGGCCAAACATCATTGCAACATTCTTCGGGGGGAGGGGGGGGGGGGGGGGGCTTCAATCCCGGCCTCCCACCTTATTCGCCTATCATAATAAGGACAATTACACCCCAGAAAACTACTCCCAAGGATAATTACCCAAATGACAATTACCCCTCGACGACTCAAACTACGCCCAGAAAATTACCCCCGATGACGATTACCCCCATCTCTGAAACTTAACCCCTATATAGGACATTGACCCCCCCCCCCCGGGACAACCAAGAACAATACCCCCTGTTCATTAAAGGGGAAGTCAACCCCGATAATAAGTTGGGTAATTTTTAGGGGGAGATCATTTTCAGGGTGGGGGGGGGGGGGGGGTTAAAATTATTATCTATCCCAACATCGGTTAAACGATGTTTACACAGGGAAATTTTCTATAAACATATTGTTTAAAACTGTTGAGTTAAACACGTTTATACTAATCATCTCTAGATACGATGAATTTTAGCTGTGTGTGAAAAGGCTGCATGTTATTGCAATGACGACCTTCGTCATTGCCTTGTTTTCGTTCACATTCTGCCCCATAAATATTCTTCTTATCTTCGTCAGAAAATTGCATTCGTTTTGCACGTAGTGCTTGTTATTCCTAGTTAGGTGCTTTTCTCATGTCCATTTCCTTTCAAATTTCGTATGGTCAAGGGTGAGTTTATGTTACCCCTGGGGGCAATATGTCTTTCTACACAGCCATTCTCAATGTTTTCAAAGTAGTAGGCGTCATGATTCTCAGTATCATTATATGGCTGTATTCCTCTTTTGTTATGTACATAACAAAAGAGGAATACACCCTTGACCATTTTATTATTGTTTTGGTTTCGGCCAGGAATACAGACTGGTCAAATGGCCTAATCCATCAAAGTTTGAGTCATGTTTCGGGCTATACTGTAGGACTGGTAGGATTTCCCTGAATTCAAGTTCGGGGGGAACATGAAAGGAAGTGGACCTGTTGACCAATGGGAATTTAATATTGTATGACCCTTCCCACTTTCTCAAACTGTTGCCCACTGGCGTACCTATGGGGGGCAGGGGGCAGAGTGCCCCCCCCCCTGACGGGCTCCAGGGGGGAAAAGAAAAAGGGGAAAGAAAAGGAAAGAAAGAGAAAAAAGGAAAAAAAGGAAAGAAAAAAGGAAGAAGAGAAAAGAAAGAAAAAGGGAAAAGAAAAGGAAACGAATAAAAATGGGGAAATTTTTTTTAAAAAAAGACCATGGTCGTACGCACCAGGGGGGGGGGGGCAGTTGACCCCAGATATTTTGAAAACGTACAGTTTTTTCCTGAAAATGTAGTGTAGGCCTATACCAAATCCTTCAATTCTACTTTTGAAAATGCAAAAGTACCCTCTTGACCAGTTCGGTCGCTCGAACTCCCTTCACTCCTTTTGCTTTTGAGATTCTTCGAAAACTTTTAACGCATCTTTCCCCCTCCCCACCAGAAAAATATTCCGCATACGGCCCTGAAAAATTAAAACAAATGAAAAAAGGAAAATATAAGTGATATAACAAATTCGAAACTCTTCGCTGGCGCGAACTGCTTGCTAGCCTATTTTGTATTAAATGTTTTCACTTGCTCGTCCCCTGAAAAAAGAAAAGGATTAGTATTGCCTAGAATACAATTGTGCCTGCCCCGACCTGCAACCATGGCAACAATAACACACAATACAGTGCGTCCCAGAAAAAGCGAAACCGAGAAGTATCGATGTTTTATCATAACTTAATCACAACCATAATGAATGAATGATACATATTTGGAAAGCTTAGAGTCTCCTCTTTCAGTTGATGCTACTCCGATGATGCATATTTCACGCATGAGTGATTAAAAGCAATTTGAAGGAAGGAAACCAAAAAGACATTTGGCGGGCGGTATCTGAATTTCGAAGAAAAATTCACATTTCTAGAAAGTTGAGTTTCTGCCCTTTCATATGACACCTCAATCAGGAAAAATGAGCGAGGAATAACAAAGTTCTGTTTGTTTAAAGTAGCCCTTACATGTTCATAATTTTAACAAACGAATTCGTTTTCACTGGGTGCTAATTGCCGTAGCAAAAAGCAGATTTGACAAAAGACTTAACTCCGTTTCGTTGACAATCAGCCATGTATGAAGACTCTCGTCTACGGCTGATTGTCAATGAAACGGAGTTAAGTCTTTTGTTAATTTCGTTTATTGATACGGCAGGCAGCCAGTGAAAACGAATTCGTTTAATAAAATTATGGAGATGCAAGCACTACTTTAAACAAACAGAACTTTGTCATTCCTCGCTCATTTTTCCTGATTGAGGTGTCATATAAAAGGGCAGAAACTCAACTTTCTAGAAATGTGAATTTTTTCTCGAAATCTAGATACCGCCCGCCAAATGTCTTTCATATGGCTCCGTTTAGTCTCATTTCACAACGCCCCCTATCGTCAGAGCATGGTCAGATTCAGCAGCCTAACATGTTAGCCTATGGACGTTTTTTAAAAAAATCGTTAAAAATTCATTTTTTGTTTAAACGAAAAGCACATCCACCCCGACGTACGTTATCACTAGCTCTTTCATTGGAGCCCTCATGTCTAATTGACTTTTGAAAGTTCACCCACCGTAATTTTTCAAAATAGGTTGCAAGCTCGTCATTGCCTATAAAACACATGTGAAACAAGTCTAACTTTGGACTCAGTTTACCAAGCGATTTGAAGATTATAGGTCGAGCACACGAAACATAAAAAGCATGAATTATCATAGATCACTTCTGCCTATTTCGTTTTGTCCATTTCATCCAACCCCCACCGTAATTTTTCCATTTAGTAAAAGCAAACATTTTGCCGAGTTTAGCAAAAACATGAATATTCATGAACGGTCAGACAATACAGCCTTTTAGTACGTAACGTATAGTGAATGGGAATGTG